TTCCGCCACTGGCCTGAACTGAAGGCATGCCATCTGATTTCAGATTTCTACGTATATTTTTTAGTGTTTTCTTCCAGTTGTTTTTTGAATTTTGATTTACCCTGTTTGGTGCACATTTTGGGTAGAAGAATGAATTTTATTAATGTGATAGATGGGGAATATGTGGTTGAAAAAAAAGGAAAAGCTATTGATATGATGAAAATTATTATTTTATTGAAGAATGTGTGGTTGAAAATGAGTGGAAGAATGAGAATGAAAATATTAATGTGGACCAAACAAGGGCGTGATCGTGTATATAATTGTTTTTTCTGATTTAGAGATTTCTGATTTTTAGGGTAGCATGTATTTGGGTGAAACTGGTTTTTACATTTCTTGATTTTGGAAATCAGGTAAAAGTATTCAAAAGTTTAGACTATAGTCTATGTTGAAGTTGGATCATTGTGTTTTGATTCATGGATTGGTTACAAAATTGAATCTTTTCTATGGGAATTCTGCAATTCATTCGTGTATATGTACTCAGTATTCTAAATGTGGGGCTGTAGAGGATGAATCTGTTGTCTTTGATGAGATTTTGATGAAAGATGTATTTCCTTGGACCATGCTTATCATTGGGTATGTGCACAGCAGGGAGAGTGAGAAGGGGTTGGAATGCCTTTCTGAGATGCATATGATTGGTGGTTACAGTAAGAGGCCCAATTGTTTTTCCTTTTAGTTAATCGAATTGCACCTTCCTAGATAATAGCAAACACAAATAGATACATCAAAAGCTATTTTACATACATACACAGTATAAAAATGATGGAGACTTAATTTCTGGTTATGGAGAGATGATATCATTGAAAAAGTTAATCCAAAAAATTATTATCCAGTCAGTAAGAGTTCAAAAGTCAATTAAGCTATGTTTGATTGCAACGAATTCCATGAAAAATGTCACATTCGAAGAAAACGAATTTCACTTTAGCAGTTTGACTGCAACATGAAAATGGAAATTGAATTCCAAGGTACAACCACTTTATGCTGCATTTTTTTTTCCATGGAAAACGAGTTCCTATGGATTTGGTGTATTTTTATTTTTTAGCTCATATAGAATTGGAATTCATTTCTACCTTTACCCATCAAAAGGACCCTTAGAGGTATATAATGTCACATATAGGTCACGAACCTTCTCAAATGGTAATTTCTTTGATTTTTTTTTGCCAATAGATCTTATATGGTTTGGTCATGGAATCGTCAACTAGTCAGCAAATTATCAAGTTTCTCCCACAGCCCTTGGTGATTAAATTGTGCCCCCTAATTGAAAATGTTTGCGTCCGCCACTAAATTTATTTAAACGCAATTATGATGGTGAGTCATGGTCACAATTCTAAAAAAATTAACGCACACGACTCACAACAGTGGTGTGAGTGGTTTTAGATGGTGGTGGATGTGATTTTAGATGGTGAAAGGGGTTGAGATGGCATGGTGCTTTTTAGGTTCAGGTGGCCAATTTAGGAATAGGAACGAAATTTGAACACATTACTTTTTGCACCACATTTTAATTACACTTACGATTTTCAATCCTTACTCATTATAGCATTAATGTCCCTAACGATTTTTTCATGGCATTCTTATCCTCAAACTTTTAGTTATTCAACACATTTTGTATTTGATAACAATATATGACCAAAAAGTCTATTGAAATAGCATATAACAACTTATTTTCTATCATATTTTAGAAAATAAATAAAAAAAGTACAAAAAAAAAAAAAAAAAA